CATGAATTAATTCAATCAATTGAAGTACATATTTTCCAAACTTTAGTTTTTAATTAAATATTTTTCATCTAAGTGCGTTTGATTGCAACATTGGATGAGTTATAAGATCAAGTCAAAATTCCTATTTACGGTGAGATAAACTCTGAAGATTATCCGGTTTGTTTTAATATTGTTTCTTAGTTTTTTAGCAATTATAACCATTTTTCAAAGACCAAAATATTTTTATTTTCGTTTTTATTATATCACCATTTGAGTTTGTTCTCATTTTCCCTGAGAAGACAACCTTGGTAATCGGTTGAGCTATTAGACAATATATTCCAGCACTTGGGAACCCGTTTTATTATGTACTCACTTCTAAGGTGAAACATCTTCTAGCTAGAACCTCCCTTGCATGTTTAGCCTCTATTTCTTGTTCAACCGCCCATCTCTGCATTTCTGCCTAGATGCGTTGTTATTTCCTTTTCAGAGTTCTTGTAATTGACAATAGCTAGTGATGCTGTAGGAATTTGAGATCTCATGCCACATACCACCTACCTTCCAATGGTTCCATTGGCTTAATCATCCTCAGTCAGTTACAATTCCCCTTCGGCCCTTGAAGCTTATACAAGAGTCACCTTTGTGATGAATTCTTTGTAACTCATTGTGGGCCTACCCTGTGCGAGCCTAGGAAAATCCCTTTCAATTTTTCCATGTTTCCTATAGTTCGTCCCATGAACTTGCCAAGCCAATCTTCTGGGTCTTGCCTTTGTCGTGGCTCTTCATTTTCCCAAGTGGTTCCCTTGTAATGCTACATTTCCCTAGGTCTTTTACTCGCCTTTTTGCGCTCCTTTTTCCTTGAGCATGATACCATAGAAAGCCTTGCATCTAGGGGAAAGCCCCTACTTCACCATTGCTAATTGCACTCTAACTGTAGTAGAGTATCTGAGTTGCTCTAGGGGTTGTCCTCGGATGAGTCCTCCTCAGGGGAGGTCTCTTTCTCACCGCTAAAACGTCTTTCTACTACTTATGTTGCCATCCCCAAAAATCAACTTTCTTCCCTTCAACTACCCTAGCTCCACCATGTTGATAGTGATGTTTTTTTGAAAAAGGATCCTTCTTGACTCCCATTTCTAGTTGTGCCTTTTCATAGAATATTAGCTGGCTTTTGTTCAGGCCTTACTGGATGGCATTGTCAAATTCCATATAGTTATTAGTTGAGTGGCTCCATAGATTGTACCACGTGTACTAAGTCTTCTCCTTGAGTTATCTGGCTATAGGAATTTTGTGGCCCATAAGACAGCTTAATTATGTCGTTTAAAAGAGAATGGCAAAAAATCTAGTTGACCTTTGAGATGTCAAACTCAAGTCACTAGCTTGAATAATTTGTCAAACTCCATACCCGCAAACTTCTGATGGAGTTCAAAACCCATTCCTAGTTTTTTAAAATGGGCAAAAAATAGTTCAGTCGTTCCACCAATCATCCGGTATAACCTAGACATATTGGCCATAATTACCTCTGACCCTGTTTGGTAAAATTGAACCTGGAATTTGTCTTCCAATTGTTGCCAGCTTAATGCAGAGTTAGGTGACAAGTTGATGCACCTTCGAAAAACGGCTCCAATTAAGGAGTTTGCAAACAACATCAATATTAAAAACTCGTTTGTGCACGCCTCGCTACACTATATGGTGAACTGACCAACGTGTTCGAAGGTCAATTGATCGTCTTCTCCAAAGAACGTTGTAAAAATAGGGAATTTATAGGCACGTTGATAGTCATGTTCTATATCTACCCAGTTGGGGTATAGCTTCTAGTATGTCGGCCTAGTAACTTGCCTCATGGAGAGGTTGACATGCTCCTGGATAATTTCATCCAGCAGATCCATATTAATTATCAACATTGGTGCCGCTGGGACAATGATCAATGTTTGTTTTCTCTAACCCTTAGTTTAGGAATAGGCGACACCTGCTCTTGGAAGAAAGGGTTGTTGTTCCTCCTAAGCCATTTCTCACTTACTACACCCTTGGTGGCAGTACATACAGAGGAGACACTAGTTGGGGTGCCTCCACTGGTGCAACTGGTTGGGTTAACTATTGTTACCTTGAGACCCCAGTCTATTCAGCATCTCGAATAGCCACTCCAGTGCATGCCTTGTAAACCCAAATTCATCCCTTATAAAATATCCCAAGCCATTGATGAATCCCAACACCTGTTGGGAAACCTCCTAAGAGAGTGCTTGAATCGATGCCTCTGGCTCTTAGTCGGATTCTTAATTTTCTTTTTCCCCAAGTGAGGCAACTCCTCCTGTAGGTTGTGAATGCCAAACATGCCTTCTTCAACTATCTCATGCCCTAGAGGCATGTCTGTTGAGCCAAACTTGGCTTTTCCCCATGTTTGTGCCATACTCTTGCGATGTGTCCTACTAGGTGTGCCAAAAAAATATGTTTTGGCATATTTTCGAATTAAAGGCATGCCAAAGTCAAAATGAACTTAATAACTCAAAACAGAACGACCTTATCTATTTGACCCTCGTGTGAGGTTTTGAGATCGTGATTGTTTTAGGCGATTGAAATGAAACGTAAGACTACCTATAGATTCTTTTTCTGCCTTGAAAATGAAGGACTTAAACTATTCCCCTAGGATGAGGCTAACAAACTAGAAGGTAAAGAAGAATGGAATGGAATTTGAGCAAACAATAAAGTAAATAACAAGGCAAAATTGTTGTATAAACTACTATACTTGAATTAAAATTAAAATTGTTATATATAGAAAAAATGCGATAAAACTACGTTCATGAGAATCGTACCATATAGTGGTACATGGAGACTAGCACTTAGATGGTAACACCCCACTAACATGTCCATGGCACCTTCCCTTAATTAATCTAGTATATGCAACAAAGTCCTTGTTTATAACAAATTTCATCAAATTGTTAACTCTGAAACTATTTATGTGGCCTATTTTCACTCATTGATCTCCATTAAAATCTCAAATTTCTGGCTCCAAATCACCTTTGTCTTGGATGATTGTTGGCAAAGAGCATCATGGGCGTAGCACGTTGGTTGAAAAGACGAACAATTACTCAAAGAAACACTATGTTTGCCCTTCATTTATAGGCCACGTGATGAACACGATCATTTTCTGTTAAACAATTGGCAAATGCTATCTATTGGGGCAATCTGAAATAAAAGTACTAACTTTAGGGTGAAATGTGGGAAATCTCATAGTTGAGAGAACTAAGCGAAACTGGATCATAGTTTGGGAGTTTAAGCATAATTTTTAATAAATTAAGAAAATCAAAAACACATTAAAAATAATGTTTAAAACTAAGTGCATCTCCGACCTTTACCCTTTTTTGTACTTTCTTTTTAAAAAAGGGTAAATAAAACCCTTTAAAACATTTTCCAATACTAGATTCATACTCATATCAAATAAAAGGAAATCATTTTTTAAACTTAAATTAAGGGAGATTCAAATTTTTATCTTTTTTATCAATGGCGGGATTACACATCCTTTTAAAGATTTAATGGTTATATTTACCCTCTTTTAAATTTGAGTTTGTCCTCATTTAAAAAAGAGTTTCTCTTCTTTTAAATTTGAATTTTTTCATTAAAGAAGTTTATACCAAATGAAGTTTTTTACAGTTTTGTTTACTCAAATTTGAGTAAAAGGTTGGGTCTCTATTGGAGATAGTCTAAGAGCATCTCCAACCCTGTCTTAAATTTAGACTCAAATTTAAATTTGAGTCTAAATAGTTTAAAAACCTTCTCCAACCTAGGATTTAAACTTATACCAAATCAACAAAAAAAATTTTTTAGACCTAAATTGAAGGAGACTCAAATTTTATACTAAATTTCTAAAAGTAACTTTTTATCTTATCAAAAATTAAAAGATTTCTTCGATGACTTATTCTCTACCGCTTATTCATTTTCTTTTCTACGTTGTTTCTATCGTCGACTACCACCGAAGTGTTCACGGATTCTTTAAAAACCTGTATGTAAACTTCTTCCTTTTCATCATCCATCTTTTTGATTTCTTGTATTTTTCAAAACCCTATCCGTCAAATTTTACTTTGATTTTTTTTCGAGTTAAATATCATTGATAGTGGAATTGTAGGCCTTTGATTCTTCCTGAAATTTTCAGCTTTTACTACCAAAAAATTTTAAAAATTCGTTATTTTATTTCTTTAATCATCTATTTTTGTTAAAAATGATCTTTTTTTTGTATTCTTTAGACTAGACCCATATCAAAGTAAATCTTTTTTTTTTTTTTTGTCGGGATTTACAAAATAAGATAATGGATTAGAACAATCTAAGAAGTATTTTTCTTTTATTTTTTAGGGTTAATTACACTAGAAGTCCCCAAAGTATGAGATTTGTCTCATTTTAGTTTTCAATGTTTCAATTGTATTATTTTTGTCTCTAAAATATTGAATATGTTTCTATATGTTCTTTTAAGCTGACAACGTCCATATTGCTAACAATTTTTTATCATAAACTTGTCACGTAATATTTAAATATAAAAAAAAAAAAATTGATAACTCTTAAACAAAATTTTGGTAACTCTTGACAAAAGAATGTGTAATGTGGATAATTTTGACCAAAATTTGGATATTTCATAATCAAAACTGTGTAATTTTATCAAATTTCTTTTATCAGATTTCATGATTTGAATAATACCAAAAATAATTTTTGAGATAATAAATTTTTTTTTTTAAAATTTGAATAGATATATAAATTTGACCATTAAAATATTTTATACCTAACAAAAAATTTTTACTCGAATTTAAGGTCATTGCGGGAGATGCTCTGTTGCGACTGAGATTGGGTTCAACCAAACCAAGATGTCAGCCGTGTCGTCAGCCACCAAACCAAGATGTAAGCCGTGTCGTCAGCCACCTACGTATGTCCTCCTCCAGTAACTCCACCATGAAATACGCACAGACGTCTCTATATATTGGCTTTACTAGATGGAGAGTGCTTACCTAGTTCAATACGCAAGTAAGATCAGGAGTGTTTAAGCCATGGATGAGGGTCAGAAGGTTGAAATGCCAAGGGTGAAACTGGGTACCCAGGGGCTTGAGGTAAGAACCATTTTCCATACTACCCAGAAAATTTATTTATTTTTGTTGGATTGGTGTAGTCTTTCTTTATAATCACTTTGCTTAATTATAACCCATTTGAAGTCTTTGGGTTCCAATTTAAGCGGCTTCAGAAATTTTTGCATCTTTGATTCCTGTTTTTGACCCTTGGCATCCGAATTTAACTTGATTTGATATAATACCCGCCTGGGTTGTTTGAGTGACGATTCAATGGAAAGATTCAGTTTTTTTTTATTTCGTTGAAATTTATTGATATTGAGGGATTTGACATATAGCCATTTTGAGTTTGTTGGATTCCAGTCGAAGTAGCATGCATTTGGTTATCTTCTTCAATTTTTTTCTTTTCTGGATTGGATATGAAACATTGGATTTCCGTGTGACTTTTGCTTGTTTTTGGCCCTTACTGTCAAATATTATTTTCTTTTTTTGACATTATTTTTGCTTGATCTTGTTCCGGGAAGTCTTAAGTATTTAAATGTTACACCAAAACTCAGGATTTTCAGGAAAACTTTATTATTATTAGTTTTTTTGATCAAAGGAAAACTTTATACTTTTCAAACTGTTGGCCCTCAGTGCGTTACTATATTTTGAACTGATGTAGAACCTTTGTAAATTTTCTGGATTTCAATGTCACTAGCATTAATGAACTCCATATTGTCATACATGGTGTTGGCCCTTGATGGCTAAATATATATTCTGAGTTGGTGTTAAACCCATGCAAGTCCTCGGAATTTTCAATCTCGTCAACATCTTGACTTGATTTTGACCCATGGTGTCTGGATATTACAAAAATTGGTCATCGCTTCCCAATGCTTAGCACTATACTTGCAACAGTTCTATGCCAATTTACATGCTTCACTGCATAAGTGGTTTTGAACTCTCTTTTTGAAAAAATTGTGGAGTATGTTTTGGGTGCTGAAAAAATATGTAGTTGTAGTCATAAGAAGCCATAAGAGTGTTAAATTGCTAGGGTAATTACATAGCGTTATATATGCATAAAGCTTTACCATCTTACTAACGTAAAGGAAGCAATTTTCAGAAGCTTGCCCCTAGTAAGATACGATTTATTTCTCATTCAAGCCTAAGTTGTGCAACCCTTCTTCTTATAGGTATCGAGACTGGGCTTTGGCTGTATGGGACTAACTGGAATCTACAATCCTCCTGTACCTGACGAGGAAGGTATTTCTATGATCAAGGAGGTGTTCAATAATGGAATCACATTCTTTGATACCTCGGATGTTTATGGTTTGAACAATGCTAATGAAATATTGCTGGGAAAGGTAAATGCACAAGAAGCCATTTTTAGTTAAAGTTGTATCCATGTTTTATATATGTGTGTGTGTGTGTTTGTTTCTTTTTCAAGATTCCAATATATCTATCAACATGCTTTTAACTACTTGTAGCCAAGGATCAAAATTTTGTTTTGGTGATTTTGGAAACAAAAATATTTTAGTAATGTTTCGGAAACATTTCAGAAATAAGATGGAAATAAAGAAAAAATTAAAAATTTATTTTTGAAACATTGGTTAAAACATACTGAAACATAGGTCAAAATTCCTCAAAACCTATCAAAACACCTCGAAGCATCTCGAAACATTGAAATTTTGATATTGAATCAATGATTAGTTTCTCTTGATTGTGGATGAGTTAAATAGACTCATTTAGAATGAGCCCCTTATAGTATATATTATTATTGATGATATGGCATTAATTGATGAAACGAAAACGGGAATTAATAATAACCTAGAAGTTTTGAAGATTAGTTTAGAATCAAAAGAATTTAAGTTACGCATAAATAAAACTTAAAATATGGAATGTATGTTAGTAACGGTCGAAATTCAAATAGGGACGTAATAAAGATCACACGAGGAAGAGATTGGAGACAATTATTCATATGAGGAAGAGATTGGAGATGATGATAACCAAATAATTAATGTATATGATGGATTGACTAAAGGATGCATCTGGAGTATTATTTCATTACATATGCCCGTTAAGTTGAAGCATAAGTTATACACGATAACCATTAAATCAATGACGTTTTATGTTGTCAAACGTTGGACAATTAAGAAACACTATCGTCGAAAATTGTTCCAGAAATGAGGATGTTATGATGGATATGTAGTAAAACCAGAAATGATAGAATTGAAATGAATATATTCCTGTAACAATAGAAGTTGCACTAATAAGAAATAAATTAAGAGAGAATCGACTTCGTTAGTTTGGATATTTATGTAGAAAATCAATTACTACACCAGTGAAAAAGAGTAATATGATACCTATCAATGACAATGTGAGGGGCAGAGGTGGACAAAAATTAATTTTTGAATGAAATATTAAAATTAGATATGACAGCTTGCTATTAAATATAAAATATGGCAGCCAATGATTAAAATTTGTTTCGGTGTAGTTTCGATGAGATTGTAAATGGAAACGTTTCGGTAATATTTTGAAAATATTTCGGAAATAAGATGAAAATAAAGAAAAATTTGAAAATTTATTTTTGAAACATTGGTCGAAACATACCGAAATTTTTTGAAACATAGGTCAAAACATTTTGAAACACCTTGAAATCTATCAAAACATAAGAATTTTGATATTGAATCAATGATTTATTTTAGTTTTCATGGAAACGGAAACGTTTTGGACGTTTCGACCATTTCAAAACGAAATTTTGTTCCTTGGATAGAGCATAATGGAGGAATGGATTCACGTCCCGACCCCAAATAGTTGGAACAAATTTTTGTCGAATTGAGTTGAAATTTCCTAGTTCCTACCAAAAGGAGAGGGAGATTATTGAATGGATGCATAATTATATAAATCATCTACTCCAAACAAAGCCAGGAAACGAGTATAAATTGTTACCAGTATGAAAGAGGTTTATGGATGTTTGTTCTCTCTCTTTTTTTCCCAAAATGGCAAGATAAAGCATTTGATTGACATTGGTCATTGAGCTTATATATATGTTATTGATATATCTCTATACCATTATTTGATGTTGATGGCCTCTTAAAAAAAAAATTATGTTAGGCTCCTAGCTGTTTAGTATGATATGTGGCCAAGGTTTTATGGACAAAAAACATTTATTTTGTAAAGAAGCCTTTCCAAGAACTGAAAATAAAAGCTACTTTCTTTTGTTTTTTCTCCATTCTTTTAGAAAGAAACCAATGATGGAAAGTGAAGATTCTAAGTAGAGGGAAAAAAAAAGAAAAAGAAAAATTATCTTCCTATGTTTGTTGTGAGAGTGAAAATTTGAGAAATTTGCAAGAGATAAAAATTTTGCTACTTGAAGAAGATGAAAGTGAAAGGAAAATGTTTTTACCTAACTTGATCATTTGCTTCGTACGGAAGAGACTAGAGACTAGACTAGTTCAATTAAATTACAAAGTCGTTAGGTTTTTAGATAGAAGAAGAGAGAAGTAGAAAAATATGAAAAGAGAGCACTGTGTTTTAAGGTTACACAACTACACTCAGGTTTTATATATAGTCACATCACAATACTAAAATACCCTTAAAATATGACATTGCTCTCTCTTAAGTTGGTGCATAAATCTCTCTTATGCCCAACTTGTAAACAATGGGATAAAAAACCTTGCTACTAAGTCCCTTTGTGAAGACATCGACTAACTGACTTTCTGATTTCACAAAGGGCATGCAAATCAGGCCTTTGCTTAACTTCTCTTTAATGAAGTGCCCATCAATCTCAACATGTTTTGTTCTGTCATATTGAACTAGATTATGAGCAATGTTGATAGCAGCCTTATTGTCACAGTATAGTCTTATAGGTCCATTATCATAAATTTTCAGGTCTCCAGTAATGTTTGGAGCCTCATAAGTTCACAAACTTCATGGGCCATTGCTCTGTATTCAACTTTTGACTAAACATTGTCACAACTACTTGCTTCTTACTTTGCCATGAAACAAAATTTCCTCCAACCAGGGCACAGTAGCCTAAAGTAAATTGTCTATCATCCACTAAACCTTTCCGGTTTACATCACTAAATGCTTCTAATTTCAAATGACCCTTATTGGAGAATAAGATCCATTTTCTTGGAGTTGACTTGAGATACCTCAAAATGTGGTAAATAACTTTAAGGTGAGGAGTTTGAAAGGTAACATTCATGCTAACATACATCTTTTGAGCCCGTGGATGATAGCATTTATATCTCTTTTTGGGTGGCAGAATAACCAACAAAAACACGTCATAGAGCCACCAACAAAGACACATCATAGAGCCTTGGGGTCAAGTTTTTCCTTAAATAATTTGTAATCATGTATAAAACTGACATGAGAGTTTTAGGAGGAATAGCAGAAATAGGAGTGGGGAGAGACTCAGAAAGACACTCAATAGGTGACTTGAACTAAAGGACACTGGAAGAAAGACAATTAATAAGATAAGCTATAGTAAGAATTGCCTCCCCCTAAAAAGTCCGAGGAACATTCATTGTAAAAATCAATGAATTTGCAACTTTAAGACGATGGTGATTTTTTTTTTCTCAGCAACACCATTTTGTTTAGGAGTACTCCTATAAGTAGTTTGAATACAGAATGTCATTCGCATTAAGGTAAGAACGAAATCCACTCCGAAACCAATGTGGTACTAACTAACTAGCAGCTGAGTCCTCTTCGAACCGTTGGAGATTTTCTCATGAATATACTTAGTTCTATTATCACTTAGAAGTTTTGACTTTAGCATCAAACTGAGTACTCACCATTTTAAGAAATGATCTAAAGCATGAAAAGACTTCACTTTTATTGCATAGTAGGTAACCCAAGTAAGGCGAGAATAACAGTTAATAAAGGTAGCAAATCAACAATAACTAGAATTAGACACAACACGAGAAGGGCCCCACACATCCAAAAGAATAATAACAAAAGGAACAATACTTTTATTATTAGTGCTAGGGTAAGACGAATGTTTATGCTTGACAAATTCACAAGCATCACAAACAAAAAAATTGCCTACTATAATGTTTTACTAGACTAGGAAAAAAGATACTCTTAGATACTGAATGAACGATGCCCCAAACGTTAATGTCACTGATGTAAGAGCTTCACAGCCGCAACACCATCTGCCTAGAGAGCTTGACAAGTAGGCTGCAGAGAAGCTTCAGCATCTAGGAGATACATACCACCAAGTGCTCTACCACTGCCAATCGTTTTTTCCGATTTTAATTTCTGAAAAGTACAATGTGGATGAAAAAATGTCACTGAACAATTCAGGGATTTTGTAATACTACTAACAGACAATAAATTAGTAGAAAAATTGAGAACACGAAGAGCTGAGGAGAGGGATAAAGAGGATGAGCAATTAATTGAACCTTTTCTAGAAATAGAGGATAAAGATTCACCTGCCACCTTCACTTTATCCTTAACTTTATCTTTACCAAAACATGTAGAATATAAAGAGAAAAGACTGGAAGTTCCTGTTATGTGTTATGTTTCTCCAAAATCTATTATCCAAGGAGTATATGAGGATGATGCACTAAACACACTAGTAGATATACCTGTTTGAGCAAAATTAGAAGAAGAGGAGGCAACAACAGAAATAGAGGGAACATCAAGTTAAGTCATCAGACGCCTAAAGGTTTGCATCTTATCTTGAGAAAAATTAGAGGAAGTAGACTAAGATGGAGTCTTTGAGGATTCAATCGTGTATCCATGAGATTGCACATTACCACCTCAGCCACACGTAGGACGTCCAGTCAGTTAGCTTCCAACAAAGTTCCTGAATATGTATGGTCTTACCACAATAGTCATATTTTAAGGTATCTTTAGCACTATTGCCACTTGTCTCAGCAAACTTAGGCAAGGCTAAACTTAAGTCACGCTGAGAAATAACAACTAATACAGATTATTCCTAAGTAGGAACATAAATCATAGAAATCCTCCGGCTCTCCTCGTGGCAAACATAGACATAGGCCTCTTGTAAAGGAGGAAATGGACTACGGTCTAAAATATGAACCTGAATCTAATCATACTCAATATTAAGTCCAGCAAGAAAGTATACACTCGTTCCTTATTCACCATCTGCTGAAATTTCACTGCATCATTAACACAATGTGCTTTGAAACTTTGGTTGAAGCCAAGCTCATGCAACAAGGTGATCAACTCTGCATAATAAGCTACAAAGGTCTTATCTTTCTGATTAGTATCCCGGACTTTCTTCTGAAGATTGTATGCCTTAGCATTATTGCCTCGTTGAGAATATGTATGAGCCATGGCTATCCAAATCTTATGCGTTGTATCAAGTAACAAAAAACCAGGACTTGGATTGCATTGAGTTAAGCAACCAAGCTATAACCAAAGCATTTTCGAAAGTCCACTACTTTGAAGAGGTATCAGACTCTATGCATTTTCGGAAGTCCACAACCAAGATCGCTTTTTGACATCAAATCTGATGTTGTCTAGTGGCAGGTTACGAGATGTAGTGTCCGACTTAGGGTTACACAATTACACTTAGGTTTTATATATGGTAACATCCATAGTTACCAGAATTCACTTAACCTCTAACGATCCATGATTTTGATATATTAATCCCAAACGAAGTGGGTTCGCTATCCAGATCATCAAAATGTACGATTCTAAATTATAATACTAACCCTAAATTAATTCGGTGTGGAACATGTAGCACAAATATACAATACATATTAATTGATTACGTCTGTATAGATTTATACTTATATATTATTTTAGATAATAGAAAATCAATCACAAATGTAAGATAAATGGTAATTGACATAGTGTTTATGCATATTCTGTGATATATAATATTTTATAATAGTAAAAACAATTTAGATAAGAGTTCTAAAATAAATTGTGAGCCAAAATAGCGTACTAGCTAAGTCCACCCCTATTGTACTGCATACCTAAGAAAGTGTTGTACCACGTACTCATACATATACCATGTACCAAAGAGACCCATGATCCAAATAGCATTGGTCACATCACAAATACTAAAATACCCTTAAAATATAACATAGCAAGTTCCCTGTTTCCAGTTGTAAGCTGTGCTAAAAAAGTAAGAAAAGTAAGGTTTGGTCTCTGGGCTTTTTTTTTTTTTTTTTTTTTCTCTCGTTTCAGTTACTACAGCCATGTTGCCATTTCTTTTTGTTTTTATTGCTTGGCCTATGGTAAATGGAGACTAGATGAGAGTGGACAAAGCAGGAAACCATAATTTTGGTGGAGAGTTTTCTTGGGAATAATGATTCCCATGTTTTTTGTAAGAAACCAAAATAAACCAAAGCGCTAGTAAAATTTGGCTTCGTACAGTCATCTGCATTGCAAATTTTCTATTTCTCTGTAACCAAACTCCACAAAAAAATAAGATATTTTCTCTTTTCTGCACTTGCCATTAGGTTTCATGTACTCAAATGAAGCCTTTTGCAACACGGATGTTTCATGCTGTGAACATGTGGTACCTTGACTTTTTATGGTTTCACAATAGGTTATGTTTTCCATTAAGTGGCACCTTGCCTTTATTTATTTCATCTGAGGAACCACAAAAGAAAGTGAAGTACACAAATATACTTGTTTGGTTTTTTTTTCCCTGGTGGGTGGGGGGGTCTTGGGGATCAGAGAAATTAAAGTAGTTTCTCTGGATTGGATAAATGTCTCGTTCTTCCCAAGCTTCTGCCACATATTCTACACTAAACAAACCTCACTGCTATAATTTTTTCATAATGCCATTATCATGAGATGTCTATATAAATTTTGTCTTCCTGGGGAAATCCCTAAGAGATAGCTTGTGGTCAACAACTAGAAGCTTGCTTTGGACATATTCTCCATAAATCACAATAGGATGTTGCATGGTGAGAAAATCTCAATAATCATGACAGTTGTGCTGTCCATTACATCATTGGGAACAGCATAAAAAATTGAGATCTGTGGAGAACAAATGAAATCTAAGTTTAAAACCAGGAAGTAAGTAGAGTTGCATGTAAGAATGTGATCTGGACTTAAACACAGTGTTTCTGTTTTTCATCTGGGTAGTAATCTTCGCATATTCAATCGAAATCAACAAAGCTTTATCCCAACTATTTAGATAATAGTATTTTAAGGATGATGTGCATTAATCTTTCATTAATTTGTACTTTAGTCTGCCTTTTCAGATATGATCATTTGATTGCTATTTTAAAAAGAAAGATAAGCTTGCCAAATGGATTGCTATCTTAGTAGAAACCACATTTTGCAGGCATTAAAGCAGTTGCCTCGAGAAAAGATTCAGTTAGCGACAAAGTTTGGTGTTTTCAAATTTGACCCCACTCTTATTGTAGTGAAAGGGACTCCCGAATATGCCCGCTCCTGTTGTGAGGCTAGCCTAAGGCGCCTTCAGCTGGAATACATTGATCTCTTCTATGTCCACCGAATTGACACAACAGTACCGATTGAGGAAACTGTAAGTGTTTTAGTTCTTTCTCTTTCTTTCTTTTTTAGGTTTCTTCAGTAAACATTGAATTCTTGAGCTTCGCCTGTTCTTGTTTTCTTTCATATTTGCCATCATACTAATTAGTTGTATTTCTTTCTGTAAAATAGTTTTATTGAAATGATGAAAATTTTCTGCCAACGGAAACTTGATTTTCTTATTAAGGGCAGATGGGGGAACTTAAAAAATTGGTTGAAGAAGGTAAAATTAGATACATTGGGCTCTCCGAAGCTAATCCAGACACAATAAGGAGGGCACATGCAGTTCATCCTATAACTGCTTTACAAATGGAGTACTCTCTCTGGACTCGTGATATTGAGGAAGAAATTATCCCACTTTGCAGGTTTCTTCATATTCCATCCAGAATTCTTGCAATAAACATTGTTTTGAGCTTGTTAAATTCTCAACTAAAAATGTTTTGAGTGTCCATTTGCATGTATTTTTATGTTATAATAACCACTTGACTTACAAAGAGGAGTATCTCTGGAGAACCCTTCTTTCAGATATGAGATTAATTTTCTGTGACTAAATATAAGAGTTCTTCTTCCTGGGAGTTTCCATTACAAGTCTTCAGCTGCTTCTCTTTTTCTATATTATACTTCAAATCCCCAGCACCCTGTTTCCTTTTTATCTTATAGTGTTGTAAACTGAAAATTTTGATGATCAGGGAACTTGGAATTGGATTAGTGCCATACAGCCCCGTTGGTCGTGGATTATTTGCTGGCAAAGCAGTTGTGGAAAGTCTACCTCCAAATAGTTTCTTGGTATGAAACTGGATTGTTTTCTGGGCTTTCCTATTTGGATTCTCATTGATTTCATTAACTTCTTTGATGAAAGGCATTGTTACGAGTTGAATTCATTTTGATTTTTCCTTGCTCCTCTTATTTGAAGAAACTTGGGAATAAATGACTAAATTTTTCCCTATATTAGGAAACACATCCTAGGTTTACAGGACAGAACTTTGAAAAGAACAAGACCATTTATCTTCGGTTAGAAGGGTTGGCTAAAAAACATGGATGCACCCCTGCTCAACTTGCAATTGCATGGGTTCTTCATCAGGGGAATGATGTAGTTCCTATTCCAGGTGAGAAACTATTATCAACTGTCCTGTTGTATTTTTGGCAAGGCATAAGTAGAACAAACATATCTTGTAAAGGAAACACAGAAAATTTGCCTTAAAAATTCACTTCCCCACTATGAATGTGTTGAAACTGAAAATGGGTTCCACTAGCTTTTCCAAAATGTTTTTACATGAGTTTGAAGAAAAGGCAAGAAACAGGATTCACCACGAAGAAGAGGGGTGCTAGTAGTGTACCACTCTATGGTAAACTAAGGTAAGGTCCCTGCTAAATTTACTTCCAACACTGGACAGCGTCCAACTGTGAAAGATTGGCCATCACCTACAGTTTCCTTTGTCGTTGTTAGAGTCTCAAGTAATCCACAGCACCGCTAAAATACCATTGATGAGTCACACTTAAACCTCAAGGCTTGGATGTGCACTTGCAACCTGTATTGGCCATGTACTTACTACCCAACCACTTGCTGCATGTGAATATTGTGTCAAGTGCCGAAACTATTGCATTACATATGACAAAATTTGTTGCCTAGCCTTCGAATTAGAGTGAATGCTAACCTATTCTTTGGTGGCCATTATCATGAATTGAGGTGTGCTCTACAATTGGAAGTTACACTTATTTAAAGAGCTTAAATGTGTGACAATTATAGATGACTAGGCAGGCTTTAGGGTGTCCGAACAACCTCAATATAACCTCCTAATCATACATACAAACTAGCGAAATCGTGATAATTGTGGAGAAACTTCATATTCCTGCCCATAGATGCCGGTCCGCTAACAATAGGCCACTATGATTGTTCATAGTGTTATATTTTCACACTTAACAGTAATTTTACAAAAAGTAGTCTATGCGCCACAGCCAAATGTTGGTCAATGGGCATAAACCATGAACTGTGTTGTCTCCTTCATGCATGCTCTCTCTAATTTATCTTTTGCTACAATCAACCTATTGGAACATGCTGAATTAGCTGAAGTGTCAACTTTGACTTCCCACTTGCATAATAGGTTCGCTTGCCATATGCTAAAAATTCATCTCAACCTTCGACTCAAGAGTTTCAGGAATCCATTGCCCCAGATTCACATATAATACGAAATATGTAAAGATGAAGAAAATGGTATTTTACCGACATGTATAAAACATAATAAACCATGGTCAAACATTTACACGATAGCCCATGGTTTGAAGGTTTACCATCAAGATATTTTGAAAACACTGGTCTGCCACACACCAGGTTCTAATTTTCCAAAAGAAAAAATAGCCTACAATCACATCACCTTGAATTGTGTATGTCCAATTCCCCAAAGAGTCTACACGTAAACAACATTAACGTGGGGCAGTGCAGGGAAGGAGATGAAGTCTTAGACTTCAACCTATTTGTATGAAAGATTTACAAAAAGTGGAAGATTTATATTACTAATACATGTCTTTGCCTGGAGTTTTGATTTTCTTTGTTCTAGACTGTGCCCCGACTGAATCAGCCATCGAGGAAGTATTCCCTGCTTCTGAAAGCATCATTACTTCATGAAAACATTATTTTCCTCAGGATAGAAAATTTTATACTTAGAATCTTATTGAATTTAATGAGTTTGCTTCGAAATATCAAACTTGTGTTTCTATGATCAATTGCTTTAATTTGAGTGGCTAAATTAGCTTTTATCTTTTTGTGGCATTTATGTAGGAACGACTAAGATTAAAAATCTTCATGATAACATTGGCTCCGTGAAAGTGAAGCTCACAACAGATGACCTGAAAGAAATTTCTGATGCAGCGCCCATCAGTGAGGTGGCAGGGCAGAGAATTGGCGAAGTTCTTTATCGAATTTCATATAAGTTTGTGAATACTCCACCACCAAAAAACGAATCAGCTTAATGTACATCTGCTCTGATGGTATACATGAGTTGGTTAGTTTTGCATCTTCTCTATAGCAGGATATGTTGCCTTAGGTGTTTGTGTAACGATGACTATGGTGTTAATGTGCTAAGTATTTGTGTAATGTGATTTTGGCCGATATTGAATGTCACAATTTTAATGATTCGTGGTGTTTTTGAATGTATTGAGGTGTTTTAGGTGGTTTCGATCAATGTTTTGGAGACCAAATTTAAAAAAATAATAATAATAGTATTTCTTCTTTGTTTCTAAAATATGTTTGAAATATTTTCATTTCTAAGTAAACTATGTATCGAAATGAAATTTTAATATTTGTTCTTAATAGAGTGGATTTAATCCTAAAGCAATCACTTGGAGTCCACTTAATTGTAGTATTAAACCAAATTGTAAGTGATCATACTTATTACTTTCTACACCATGAAGGATTTAGTTTTTCGTTGAATAGCAAACTGTGCAAGGGGCATGTACAGCGTTTGGTTGTGGTAAGCTGTTCAAACACAAACTTGCATAAAGATGATTTAAAGTTGCTAATAAATTGATGATATAACAAGTTGCTAATAATTTGAATTCTCAGACTGAAAATCCCCTAAAACCACAAAGCCATAGCTGCCAAGGCATCTGTAATTCTCAAATGGGATAAGATTATGACAATGGTAACGTACCAAAATTGCTCGTAGTAGTACATTTTGATTTAGACGATCCCTAACCATTGATTGAAAAAGTGATAAGCTACAAATAATAAAATAAAAAAAATTAAACGTATCATGTTATTACTGGGTGAAAAATAAAAATACTTTACTAAAAAATTATAACCCGACCCATTCAAAGAGTTCTGACATCAATATGAACTCTCATCCTCATGTGGATTGAGGAATTGCCACAGATCAGATATGGCAATTTTAATTTCCCAGGGAGGACTATTTGAGTTGTTGTTTACAGCATTTGTCGCTCTTCCTTCATTTAGCAATGCGAACTAAAAAAGAAAGCCTCTTTGTGCAGCTGCATTTGCTTCCACAACTGGCAGAGAGTTTTAATTTAGATTCTCAGTTACCTGTACACTAGGTTTTAGCCCTTCTTCAACTGATTATTTTTCATTCACATATTGAGCGGGAGAGAAATGTGAATATTAAGATCAATGTGTGATAAAATTAGAAAGAATAGGCTTAGATGATTTGGACACACTTATAGATGCCATTTTAGGGTACCGGTGAAAGTTTTGTTTTTTTGAAGTCAAGGGTTCAAGTTTCTCCCTCAAAAAAAAAAAAACTTCTACAACACCGGTGAGAAATAGTGACATAATAATTATTGAATGTAAATGTAGAGGCAAAGGTAGACTTAAAATTAGCTTTAAATGAAATAGTAAAAAAATCATATGATAACTTATGATATAACTATAAATACTTATGTGCTTAAAAAACTATCTAATACCAAAAATCGGACATTGATTCTTCATTATTTATATTTTAAATAGCAATTTTATTTTTTTAATTATACAATTTAAAATTAAAATAAAGAGAGAGAAAAAAGGGTAAGAGTAGATTGATGGAATTTTTTGGAAATAGGGAGTGTGTTGATTGGGTTGTATGATATTGAGGACTATGTAGAGAATATATTTTTTTGTTGAAAAAAATATTGGGAAAAGTTTTATACAATTATATCAAAATAAATAAAGATTGAATCAATCTTGACCGTTATAATTTTATAAGTTTATAATTCAACTTACTAGCTATAATATTAGATAAATATAAATAATAACTCTTGATAGAGCAGAATAACAAAAGATAATTGACGTAGTTAACCCCAAAAAATTGTTACAATATTTTATTGAGTTGAGTTGAATCGATTATTTTTCGCTCTCTTTTTTTTTGGATAAGGAAACAAGGATAATTATATTACTTTTAAAATACTACACAAAACAACAAGAATAATTATATTTCACTCTCTTTTCTTATTGACTCCATTTTTAATAACCCATGCAGCCCTCTGTACCTAACATTGTGGAAACATGAGTAATGGGAGTAGCAAAAAACCAAATTATAGCCGATGATAGGACATGAATTGATGCTCCTATTACCAAATGACACGTGGATAAAAGGTGACCTGCGTGCAAGACCCCTAGTATACTACATCATGTTGCCTCCCTTGGAAACAAAACTCTCGGAGAGCCAATTGGCCTCGGGCCCGAACATTAATGGTGATCGAACATGTGGGATTATTAATGTGATGAGTAATATAGAATGATTAGTTACGTTGTTACACTTTACATTGAGACACACACCAAATCCCAAAAAAATTGGTTAAAGGCATGATCCTTATTGATGTGGACTAGTCGGATGATGCATCATTTAATAATTGGTGTGCACCTCATAAATGCTTGACATAACTTATTAAATGGATAACAAAAGGTCATTAAATGTTTAGATGATATGCATTGAATCGTTAATCCACTGAGCAAGGTAATCATTACGGTGTTTGACCCTGAGCAACCGTTAAGCTTCTCTGGCCTAGTAACTATGTGGTTTGAGAGAGCCACTAGTTACTTGCCTTGAAGGATGTACTATTTTTTGACTTGATGTGACTCACGGTGTCATAACATCATTTCTCCATGCATAAATAGCCCAAATGATTGGGTCTTAGATAAGCAAGTGTAACCCAACTTACATAGTATTCTCAATGCTCTCAACCTGAACACCGACTGACTTAGGCATTAGAGGGGACATGACAGATCTTTGACCTCCTTCTAGCCTTGTTCCTTATTATAGGAATCTCTTGATCAGCTAGGTGTTGCTATCTCAACTATTGCGTAGGATTCATCCTATACAATTTGTTGTTGTCTATGGAAAACTACAAACACAGTTCCCACGTAATAGATACCATGACAAACACCCATTCTCAAGGCAATGCAGAGGAAAATCTTCGTGCACGAAGCAAGAAAGTCATTTCGTCCCCTATTCCGTCAGTGTCCAAGTCCATGGCACGGACCAAGAGCATCTATTGTAACTCCTAGTAGCATACCCAACACACCGACTAGACCCTCGACCATCAAGGGGGAAGACTCCTTGCTCGCGAGCAAGTCAATTTGATCGAATAACAGCTGGGCAATCGCTAAAAAAAATAGATGAAGATAATGTCTACTAATGGGACATAAAAAGTGTGCCACGCGTAGGCAACAATTAATGCACTCACCTGAGAATGAATGGATAGATTACGTTGGGGAACAGTGAAATAAGAGTCGAACCAAACAGTGAATACTCGATTCATGATGCAAAGCTGAGTCATTGAGAGCTTGGTAGATTTGATCGAATAATGACAATAAAAAGTATGCACAGGGTGGCACAACTCCTTGTGTGTACATTTGACTGAAGGTTGAAGGTTGTGCATACTTTTTATTATGCATCCTCAACCCTTTATATAGTGTCTCTCTTCTCGTTAGGGTTCCGTTAATTGACGATGCAAGGTGGCGTAACTCCTATCAATCTGGGATATTTGTTAGGGATTGCTGAAATCTCTCCACACGCTTCCTTTGTTGACCAGCACTTCTCAAGCCGGTGATTACCTTATTCATTATACCTAAATCCCCGAATTTTAGGCATTCCGCTAGTTTAAGGTTGTTCCGAATAGAGCTCAGCCTTATCAAAACCTAGCTCTTGTTTCTTCTACCAAACTCTCAATGACTCGACTCGGCATCATGAACTAAGTATTCATTGTTTGGTTCGGCTTCTATTTCATTTTTCCCGAACGTAATTTGTCTCATCATTCTCATGCGAGTGCATTAATTGCTCCCTACGCGTGGCACAATTTTATGCCCCTTCAGTAGACATTATATTGTTCTATTTTTTTTAGCCAATCGCCCAACCATTATTCGATTAGATCGACCTACTCGTGAGCAAGGAGTCTTACCCCTTGAAGGTTGAGGTTTTGGTTGGTGTGTTGGGTACGCTGTTGGGAGTTGCAACGGATGCTCTCTATCTGTGCCACGGACTTGGACACTGACAGAATAGGGGACGAAATGAATTTCTTGCTTCATGCACGAAGGATGTTCGCCATGGTATCTGCTACGTGGGAACTGTGTTCGTAGCTTTCCATAAACAATGACAAATTGCATGAAATGAATCCTACGTAATAGTTGAGACAATGACACCTGGTTGTTCATGGGATTCTTATAATAAGGAACAAGGCTAGAAGGAGGTCAGAGATATGTCATGTCCCCTCTAATGCCTAAGTTAGTCGGTGTTCAGATTGAGAGCATTGAGAATACTATGTAAGTTGAGTTACACTTGCATACCTCAGACTCAATCATTTGGGCTATGTATACCTTGGGAAATGATGTCATGACACTTTGTGAGTCACATCAATTCAGAAAGTAGTACATCCATAGAGGCAAGTAATTAGTGGCTCCCTCGAGCCACATATTTATTAGGCCTGAGAAGACTGGCAGTTGCTTAGGGTCAAACATCGTAATGATTACCTTGTTTGGTGGATCAACCATTCAATGCGTATTGTCTGAACATTTAATGGCCTCTGCCATGCATTTAATGAGTTGTGCCAAGCATTTATGAGGTGCGCATCGATTATTAAATGATGCATCGCCTGACCAGTCCACATCAACAAGAGTCATGTCTTCAGCCTACTTTTTTGGGATTTGGTGTGGGTCCCAATGTAGAGTGTGACAATATAACTAATCATTTCCTATTACTCATCACATCAATATGCCCACATGTTCAATCTCCATTAATGTTTGGGCCTAAGGAAAATAGAATAAGACAATGTCTACTAAAGGGGCATAAAATTATGTCACGTGCAGGGAACAATTAATGCACTCACATAAGAATGATGTGACAGATCACATGGGAGAACAATGAAATAGAAGCCGAGCCAAACAGTGAATACTCGGTTCATGATGCCGTACCGATTCATTAAGAGCTTCGTAGAAGAAGTAAGAACTCAGTTTCGATAAGGCTGAGCTCCATTCGGAACAACCTTAAACTAGGAGATTGCCCACAATAAAGGGATTTAGGTATAACGAATAAGAGTAATCATAGGCTCAGGAAGGGCTAATCAATAGAGGGAGTGTGTGGAGAGATTTCAAAAATCCCTAATAAATATCCTAGATTGATAGGAGGTGTGTCATCTTGTATTGTCAATTAAGGAAACCCTAATGAGAAGAGAGACAATATATAAAGGGTCGAGGATGCACAGTAAAAACTATGCACAACCTTCTCTTCATACACATTCCTTTCATACACTTATTGATTTAGGTATCGGAGTGCCTTTGACCAAAGTATTTCGATCCTAATTAGTTTGTTCTTTTTTTAGAAAGGAGAAGACATAATAGAGAAATCATACTCATCAACCAACGTGAGAGGCAGACACGTTTTTAGTGCTTACATCTACATTCTCAATAGGCTTGACAAGTAAAATGCGTCAGAAAAGGAAAAGCCATACACAACACCAACAAATGACACTCTCGAGAGCATGTTCGCGAACACCTATCTCGAAGAGACTTTCGCTGTTGCTTGGGCTAGAGGACTAAAAGGTTTCATGCCTCCAATTTAAAACTTTGTTGACAATAGTTGCATTTAAATTTAATATTTCTTCCCCCTCCTCCAATTTTGTCTAATTTTATAATATACTTCCATACGGGAGTGTGATCATTAGGATCTAATTCATTCCCACTGCTAGAAGAATACTCCAAACTACTTTTCATAAATAACAAAAAAATGAGTGTAAATAACCAAAACAAAAAAAGAGAGTAAACAAAATAAAAAAAATCTAGATCTAAAGATAAAATCCCAAACTATTATGTTTCAGATCAAAATTTTTCCTAGATTAAAGTTTCACGTGAGATTGGGGAGACTATGAGACTAGGGTTTATTGTTAATTTTCGACACAATACGAACCGAATGCAAAATTAATGGGTCGAAGACAAAATTAAACGAGTTAATGCGCTAAAACGGGTCAACACGCTTAAATACAAAAAAAAATCATGTCGGGTTTATGTCAAAATTAAGTCAACTCGATTTTAACCTTACTAACCCATATATTTTAAACAGGTTGACATAATTCGGATACGAACCCGACCTAACTAATTGTAGAACCATTTAACCAGTTTATGGTAGTATAATTTATCTATTATTATGGCTGATGTAGTTTTAACATTATTACTTATTAATTCTTACTTCTATTATGATAATTGACTAAGTATAGTTTTTAACATTATTATAACAGTATACTAGTATAGTTTTTGTTTTAATTTTTAGGTTGAAACTTGAATGCATTTTAGTTAATTTTATTGATGAGATGTGATATGTTATTTGTAAAAAAAATTATTTGAAATTTTGGATGAATGATTGAATGATGTATTTAATGGTAATGAACTAGGGTAGAAACAGGTCTGTGTTATGTGTACTAAATAAGTTAAACATATCATGTTGTGTGTATTAACGTGAAAACGATCAGTTTATTAAACGTGTAAAACAGGTCAGATTTGGATAACCCGTTTAATGAGCAAGTCAGACTAGTGTTTACACATCTTGACACGATTATTAAACATGTCAGATTTGGGTTTTGAAATTTTCAATACAAAGTTGAAATCAACCTGACACGAAATGATCCAATTCGTCATGTTTGACACCCTAGGTTTATGCACAAAAACAAACACAAATAATGTCAGTGAACTTAGGGCCTGTTTGGTATATATTTGGGGAGGATTTTAGATTGGCTTGTCTAAACCCGGGTTTGACCAAAGATGGGATTCAAAGAAGGGATTCAATATTCAATGTTGTCCATACCCATGTTTGGTATGCATAGAGATATATGACTATTATGATAATATATTTATATTTAAATGACTATTATGCCCCTTAACTAATTTAATCCAAACATGAGTATGAATATATGGGGGGTATAAATATCATTTAAATGTGAAACCCCCAAACCCACATATGAAACCCACCCCCCATAGGTTTCATGAAACCCATGAACAAGGGTTTCATGACCAGGCTGGATTTCAAACCCTAGGCTAAATCCATAGTTACAAAACATGTTAAAGGAGTTTAGTCCCCAACCTATGTTCCCAAATCCTCACACCGAACAACCCTTTGGTGAAAAAAAAAAAGGCCCAAAAAAGCTGTTCAAACAACGAAAATCGCAAAAAAAATTCAAGGGTCGTTTGGTAACGTTTTTGTTTTCGCGTCGTGAAAAAAATTAAAAAAAATAGATAATTTTTATATTTGTTTTGTGATAAACACTAAAACAAAAAATATGTTTGGAAGTCATTTTTGTCTATCAAATTATAAGAATAAAAAAACATATATGTTTGGTAACTATTTCAAATTTTATCCGAAATATGTTTGGTATCTATTTGGCAATTAAATCCTAAATCAACACAACACACACGCGCAGGAACTGAACAAGAACCCGTAGTTCCTTTCAAATTGCAATCCTTAAAGACGAACCCATGGGATCTAAGGAGCAGTGTAAACTTTGTTGGTGCCCATAACCCAGAAGCTGATAAATGGGAAGATTGGACAAAGAAAGTTGTTAGTTGTAGTCAATGGAGGAATAAATTATAATAAGTCAATCTCTTGCAAGCCATAATTTGTGCATATATACATAGATTTGTGCATATATATGCACAGATCTGTGTATATATGCACAGATCAATCTCTTACAAGCCATAATATGTGCATATATATGCATAACTTATGGGTTTCACAGAGAAGAAGGAGAGAGGTAGCGATGGGGAGGAGAGAGACAACGATGGTGAGAAGAGAGGCAACGATGAGTTTCTTCTGGTTGTCTGATACAGAGAAAGGAGAGACAAGGGAGAAAGGAGAAAGAAACGGAGAGAGAAGCAATGGGGAGGAGAGAGGGATGAAATGGGCTTTTATATTTCAACAAAAAAATTCTTGTTTTGCTGTTAAGATGAGTCGAAGTCCGGATCTCATTTTAAACCTTTTTGCGCGTTTTGTCTTTGTTTTTGGTGTTTCTTGGAACATCTTTTTTTTGTTCTCATTTTTTTGTCTTTGTTCCCATTTTTTCCAAGACAACTAATATAAAACAAAAACAAAAATAGCACCCAAACATATTTTTGTTTTTATTTTTGACAAAAATTGAAAACAAACTAAAAACACAAGACAAAGACAATTACCAAACATCCCCTCAAATTTTCAAAACCCTAACAGCCTAACCCAATGAAATTCATAAATCAGATGAGCTAAATATAAGTAGAAAAATCAATGCACAAAGGATGACCTTAATTAGCTTTTATTCTTTCTTGGCATTTTCGTAGGAGCAACTAAAATTAAGAATCTTCATGATAACATTGGTTCCGTGAAAGAGAATCTCACAAACAGTGGCCTTAAAGAAATTTTTGATTCTGTGTCCATCAGTGAGGTGGCGGAGGAGAAAACTACTGAAGCTCTTTATCAAATTTCATGGAGGTTTGCTAATACACCACCACCAAAAAAACGTTATCAGCTTGATGTGATGCATGATGTTGTTTTTGTATATTCCGTAGTAGGATACGGTTTCCTTTTTTGGTAGTGTAAATATAATCGCAGTGTTAATATGTTGAGTATGTGTGTAATGCAAGAAAAATAATCTGTAAAACCCTATTTTGGAATATGGGAATCGAAAACATGATCGCCTTACTGACATATCAATTCGAGAATTTTCTTTATTATTCTTGACAAATTGAGATATTGATTTGAAAATTATTCGATAGAGTGAAAATATCAATGTTTGGGCAGTCTCTGACTGAGTAAGATTCTACAGATGTTGGTTTTTAATGATCGGGTGTTCTATGAGATTCATTTCAATGGTAAATGAACACTAGAATGAATAAAGATTTATAAAATCACAAATTTTCTATAAGGAGCAAGCATGTCGATTATTAGGCCAGTTTGGTGGATGTGTTAAAGGTAGTTTATTTGCTGGTTGGAAATCTAGTTTGCTAGGTGAACTTATAGGTTCATCCATTCATTTATGTGGCCTGTTTACATATTTAGGATTTCTTATCCTGTTTAACCCGCGGAAATACCCCGTGATTGTTGCACAACCTGACATCACGTCAATAGCACCCCCTTAACCGGAATTATAACTCATACGTGTAACCCGTGTATATTTTATCATTTAATCAAATCGTGGTCC